TACTCCAGTAAAGGGGAAAATCCATGTTTTACTGTTTTTCCGTGGGAAAGAGAAAACCTGGATCCCTGTTGATGACTACACTTTGAGAACAATGATCTCTGTGTCAGAAGCCTTGCTAAAGTCAAGATATATCACATGCACTGCTCCCCATCCCCATGATCCACAGAGCCTGCCACCTTATTATAGAAAGAAATCAGGGACTCGGGCATGACTTGCTCTTGGTAAATCCATGCTGGCTGTTGCTTATCACCTTGTTCCCTAGGTGCCTCAAAATAGCTTCTTGACAATCTGCTCCATGATCTTTCCAGATATTGAGGTTAGACTTACTGGTCTGTAATGCCCTGGATCTTCCTTCTTCCCTTTCTTTAAGATGAACTCTATATTTACCCTTTTCCAATCATTTGGGACCTTATCTGAATACAAGTTATCAAAGAGGATAGCCAGTGGCTCTGAAATAACCTCAGCCAATTCCTTCAGTATGGTGCCTGTAGCAGCAGAGTACTGGATTTAATGACCCAGTCCTATGTGTTGTTCCTAAAAGGGTTTTAAAAGTCTCCTTATACCTTGCTTAAATGACAGTGTAGACTGTAACCAATAACTTTACTACTTATGTTTTCATCAACAGAAGCAGTTTATTTCAAGTGAAGTGCAGTGATATCTTCTCTAAACACAAAAGGAAAAAACACCTTTCCATTTCAAAAAAGACATTTTCCAGACCTTTGTGGAGATCTGGAAAGCTTTCAGAATGTGGTGTTATGACATCCAATGTCCAGCTGTTAAATCAATATTTAGAAACGTAATTTAGAAATGGCAGAGGTTTGAGTATCTGTGTCAAATAAAGATGTAAAATAGCATATATATATCATAATGAAAGAGGTCTCAGTGCCTTCTCCAAATCCAGAAACTTAGTAGTGTAAACACATGTTAAACATTGTACAAAATGGTACAAAGACATTTAAATTAGAAATGAGTAAATATAATTATTTTGTTTTTCTCTTTAAAAAAACTATAACTCACCTTTTATGTGGTTTCTCTCCACTAATTTTATAGTGAACAAGTTTGCCATCAGCAATGGCCCCTACCAAAATGACTTTCATGTTATAATTAAAAAATGTTCATAGCAAGCAAATTTGAAATTTGTAACAGGTATTCATAGCAGATGCTACACAGATAGAATGAAAATATATAATGTGACTTCAGTATCTAAGCAGCATGAGCTTCAAATATTTAGTACTGTCAATGAACTTTTGCTTGCCAACCAATAGTACCAAAAACATTGGTCATTCCTGAAAAATATATATATAATTAGGGTGACCATATGTCTCAGTTTGGCCGGGACAGTCCCAAATTTTATAGCTTGTCCCAACGTCTCAGCCAGCGGGTGAAAATCGAAACAGAAGTCCCTGACTAGCACCATCTGCCTGCATTGCTTGGCCCAGCTCCTCCTGAGCAGCGACTGGAGGCAGGAGGTAGGCTGGGCTGGGCACTGCTCCTCCTGCCTGGGGCAGGGATCAGGCAAGGACGGGGTTTTAGTGTCCTGGATTTCCTTAAAAATAATATGATCGCCCCATATATCATGCTCATGATGTAGCTATCTAGAAGTAGTTGAGACAGAGAGAGATCTGACGATCTGAAATACTACAAAGTGAACATTAATATTAAATATTACACACAAAAATCATTTAGTAGATAAATTCTGAGGAACTACCTTTGAAAAGTTGCAATCTGTTTTGACAACAGTAAAGTAAACAGAAAGAGAGGCTAAATTCACCAAATAATGTGTTGTGCAATTATTTCCCCTATTTAAAACATCTGTGCCAAAAGCACGGGCACATTTGGATGTGTCTCTCTAAGTCAGGCTCATCATAGAGACAGGACCCAAAACCACAAGATTATGGTCTGGATTTGGTACAAGACTCTTTCCAATCTGAAGGGATGATGCAAATATAAAAAAACTAAAATGCCAGCAGAGTGCATTTAAATGGTTCCAGTTTTAGTGCTGTAGAAGCAAAAATATAACCACCTAGAGGCTCCTGAATGTTTCTGATTTTAAAGCACAAGTGTTTGAAGCATTAGGACTGAACTGGAACCTAAAATCTATGTGTGTATAAATCCTAATAAAAATTTGCACAGACGTACAGAGATGCTATGTTCCTTCCTGGCATTTTAAATTAGCTGAGCCTAGTGCTCTGCTAGAGATAGTTCCCAGGAGTCAGGAGCATTTAATACAGCTCTGGAATTTGTCTGCCCTGCCAAAGCTCAGTTAAGGCTTAGTTTACATGACAGTGTCCTGCCGGCAAAACTCTGAATGTGTCTACACTCAAAGCCCCCCTGCTATGGCACCACTCCCCCCGCACCCTCCCCCCCTTTTGTGCAGTATTACACCACCTTCCCTGAGCAAAATAAGCTTTCTGCAATCATCCAGGGGCAAGCAGAATGTGCATGTGGGCACCCTGAGCCTTCTGCTGGCTTCAGTGTTTCCTTTAGCCTGTGGTACCTTCCAACCTGAGATCCTCTACCTGCACAGCTCTTGCTGTGGGGCCACTAGATGTTGATAGACAGGTGCACACCCTCATGGCTTGGGAGATGCAGATAAGCTTACACAAAGCCTTAGTCGACCTTTTGTTCATGGAGTAAGCTTTCTATGATTGCTCAAGCATTTGCTTGAGGCTGGCTAAGACAGGTAGTAGATGTGTTTTGCAGGTAAACTGACATAGGTAAAATGGGGTCTATCCATTGTTGCACTCAATAACATGTAGCATTGGCTCTTTAAATGTGCTCAGAGGTTTTACAATGGGTCTATAACTATATTAATAAAACTCAGAGAATAGAAAAAATTGAGACAAGTGCTAATAAAGCTAAATTGTTTCAGCCCTCAATACAAAGATGTATACACAACCAAATCAAACATTTTAAGGCTAAATTAATGTAGGGCAATAGCCTTCAAAAACTATATAAGTATGCAGCTCCAAACATCTAGCCAGACCATTTGTAGTCTTTCCCTGAGCTGCTGCTGTGTGGGACTACTTAGACAGAGACTGAGTGAGATCCAGAGAGGCATTTCAGGCACACTGCAGTGCCTAAATTAGGTGCCTGGCTACATCAAGTGATTCAAGGAAACAGGGTTAGGTGCCTCCCAGGATTATTTCTGCTTTTATCCAACAACTGTTTAACGTAACATGCATAAGAAAATCTTTGTCCTAAGTAGCTCCATTAAACTGGATAGAGAGAGTATTAAGTTCACCCCATGGATCTTGAAGTAATATGGACTCTTTAATTTGGAGAGTGCCAAAGGATTTATAACTGCACCTATGGAGGCAACCTTCTGTCAGCATAACCTGCTTTATCTGGAGATGTATGTTTTTCCTTGTAACTCAGCATCATGACTTGATAATATGAGGTCATCCAGAGAGAGATACAAAGATTGATTAATTCTTTTTATTGAGTGTCTCATGAAACCACATAAAACAGTGCTGGAAATGGTCTCTGAAAGTTGGCTCTGGCCCACTGGCCTGCAGAACTGCTGCAGTTCCCTTCCAGGCAGCATTTTCTCTGTAACATCATTACTGCCCAAGAGATAATCCAGCTTCTAACATTCCTTCGGGCATATATCTTTATTCCCAAAAGAGAAGCAACATGGCCCAAGTTTCAGATTCCTGACACCACTGACTTGTCAACCCAGCAATACCTCAAAATACAGCACAATATTTTATACCACAAAGCCATTTGGCAAAAGATCTCTCATTCTCTTTTCCCAGAAATATCCCCAAAAATTCTATGACTGTGATTTGAGGGCTCCAGGGTTCTTTAAACTAAACTGCGTGAATTTAGTGTTAGTGACCAGCACAGCTATAAATATTAATGCCATCCAGTACAGCTGTAACCAGAGACTGAGACAGAAAAAAACCCATGTTTGTATGTATTCAGAGCCCATGTTCTTCTATAGGATTTGTTGCCAAAAGTTTCTGTGGCACAAAACATAACTTATTTTGCTAAGAAAGGCTGCAGGTTACTAAAAGAATTAATTGGTTTAAACTGTTTTAATAAGCTCTCCTGGGAAACAGATGTAACAGATCAGTGCCAGTGTCACGTAATAAAATATTTTATAGAGGGTATTATTATGTAAGGTGTAGTGCGTCTAACTGGAAAGTATTTGCTGCACTAAAGGGGGGAGAAAAAACTAGATTTGTTAGGCTGGATGTTTGGGAATGACACATGTAACTTAAATTCTACTTAAAACTATTCTAAGTGGAGCCTTCCTAAATGGTTTAGCTGAAGAAGTCTTGCCACAGAGGAATTTGATTTTATCATTGATACAATCACACCAGCAAGGTACCTTATGAATAGGGAAATAAGAAGGTAGAAGGAATAGTTTCCAGAGAGCAGACATCAAAAACACCACCCACTGGACATGTCTATACGTGCTATTATTGCACAGCAATAAACTCTGGCGCATATCACACTGGAGTGTATTGCTCCCAGGCACCATATTCGAACATGCGCCCAGGACCACAGCACATTGGAGTAGCCTGAGCTGACAGGAGGTCCAGGGGATCAGCCTGCCAGCCCAGGGCTGCTTTGACCCAGGTCAGTGCACTGCTGAGGAGCTGTCTGGCATACGGGGGTGCTTCAATGCAGCACTAGCTGGAAGGCAGCCCCCGCACTGAAGCGCCCTTATGCTCCAACCAGACCCATCAGCATCTACACAAGTGTTGGTGTGGAGTAAAAAACTCTGGTGCAAGACAGTACTTTTATTTACAAGTACTAACCTACAGAGGAGTTAATTAGTTTACTCCATCCTAATAGCATAGCACATGTAGATCCTGAGCTGTTTACTGTAGAACTAATTAAGCTAGTCTGTAGTAAACGTCTTGTGTAGATGCACCCATGCACACCAAATGTCACGTAAGCTTTCAAGAACTGAGAACTTCAGTCTTCAAAGGCTATATACAAGAAATGCCCACCTCGTTGAAACAACGTTTAAAATATTTTTCTTACAGGCTGTGAGGTTGAAATCCTTGGAGTCAGACCTAGTTATTGTCAACCATATTTCAGTGTGCCATCAGATGCCAATTTTGCTGATGCTATCCGTGATAGTCTTGAATCTTTACGGTAAGTCACTGAAATCTTTTACTACAGAAATTAATTTCTAAAGTATTGTTACTTAAAAATTTTGGGCACTTCCTCCAGGAATATTGCTTATCTAGAAGATGGAGCTAAGATTTATTTTTCCCCTGATAGGAAATAGAGACAGAAAATTATACACTTTGAAAAGCTTTTTCACTGTTCATGATACAACATGCAGGGACATCACAATTACCAGTAGTTGCTCTCCGTAATCCCCCTATTCATAGGAAAATGAAGCCCCATTCATTTGTATTTCAGACTATTAGAATCAATTAATTGAGTATCAAAAAGAGATTTTAAGTGACTTAATGTCAGTGGGAATGATTCAGTATGTCTGGCACTTTTGAAATTAAAATTGGGTCTCTTCCTAAGCCTACAGTTAGGCTCTAGTTTCAGCCATAATGCAGAAAGTAGATAAATACTCCATGCAAACAAAAGCACCCTAATCTATACTTGAGCTTCCTGAGGTAGAAACAAATTTAAAACCATGTTTTACTTCAGCCATTTCCCTTCCAAGTTTTAATCAGGGGGAGTTTTTAAAACTAGATAAGATCAACAGTATTTAAGGCTAACACAACTCTTTATTCAGGGCATATTGCCTTCATCTCTTCATTTACAACCCTTGATACTACATAATTTATTCAATTCCAGGATATATTTTGCTGTACAGGTGAGAATCTGAGAAGTCTAGGGAAAAGGTGTTGAGCAGCACTCACTCTGACTATAAGTTTCAAAATCTTCAGTGTGTGCTTAAATTTGCTACTGTACAGTATTACAGAGATGTGGCAGAACAGTTCATGTGCCTGATGAATGATCAAGGATGGTGATGCATTGTTCAGAAAGAACAGACAAGGGAAAAAGGAGGGGTTTTGCCCTATATATAAAGAAGATGTCAGCATGTTCTGAGGTGCAGTACAAAGTGGAGGGTATAACAATAAAAATACTGGATTTCAGAAAAACAGACTTCAGCAAACTCAGGAAACTGGTGGGCACAATCCCCTGGGTGGCAAGTCTAAGGGGGGAAAAAGTCCAGGAGATCTGGCAGTACTTTGAAAAGGTCCTTTTAAGGGTGCAGGAGCAAACTATCCCAGCACAACAAAAGAATGGACAAGTGATCAGGAGATCAGTTTAGCTAAACAGCAATCTCTTCAGTGAGTTAAAACTACAAAAGGGTTCCTATTAAAAAGTGGAAACATGGCCATATTAGTGGGGAAGAGAATAAGAGTATTGTGCAAGTGTGCAGGGAGAAAATTAGGAAGGCCAAGGCACAATTTGAAATGCAACTGGAAAGGGATTCTATGAGTATGGGTTTCTACAAGTATGTCAAGAGCAAAAGGAGGCCTAAAAAAACTGTAGGTTCCTTATGGAATGCAGGAGGCAATCTAATTACAAATGATGCAGAGAAGGGTGAAGTGTTGAATGCCTTTTTTACTTCAGTCTTCACAAATAGGAGCAGCTACCAGCTGATAAGCACAACTGGCAGCAAAGATAGGGAACAACTCAAACAGCCTAGGGTAATAGCAGAAGAGATTAGGGATTTCTTAGAGAAGCTAGATACTTTCAAGTCAGCAGGGCCAGATGGATTGCACCCTATGATGCTGAACACATTGGCTGAGGTAATTTCAGAGCCACTACCTATCTTCTGTGGAATTTGTGAAAGTCGAGTACGGTACTGGTTGACTGGGAAAGGGCAAATATATTGCCTATCTTTAAGAAAGGGAAGAAGGAGAATCCAGGGAATTACAGATCAGTCAGTCTAACCTGAACTCCACAGCACTACTAGCAGCTTGTGTTCCCCTGCTCTACCCCTCTCCGTCTGGTACATGGGCCACAGATTCCCCAGGCTCCTTGCCACTGTGCCGCTCTGTTCCCAGG